CTCAGTCCCAATTTATCTGCTTTCCTGTCATATTTGCCTCAACTACTCCTCTTTGGAAATTTTCTAGATCTGCAGCTGGTGTTTTTGCAATTTCCGAAATTTCCAGAAATACATGACTGTACAGTGACACATACTAGTTAATTTACCATGCTCTTTGATTTGTATTATTAACACGTAGGATTATTTCATAAAAATCGATTTTGAGGTGTTGCAACTCATATCACGTTTTAACCTTACGGATTTATGGACTAGCTGACTATCGAGGTCTCTCTACCATCTGCTCTTATGCACAGGCATCTGATGAATGGTTCGTGATTGCCCCTCTACGGTATATGTCGCCTGCTTTACAGCATCATTAAAGATAGAAATAAATCGAAGGGTGGCCAGTTATTTATTTGCTTCTAGCATTATCATGATTTATAACAGCAAAGAAAAAATCCTTAAATATTAAAGAAATATGAGCTGCAACTTTGATGTCAGCAATTTTTTGCAAAATTGTAATTAACTTTTAAATGACAGAAAAAAATAAAGTTTTAAAAATTCTGTTGTTAATATTTGCGACAGAAGAACTGTTTATAAGCTTTGATTGAAGCAAAATTACATTATTGTCCTGTACAAATATTGATTTCTTATATAATACTATACATTTTTCATGATACATATTCCTTTGTTCTGAAACAATTTGATACTTTATTTCTGTCTAATTGACCAAAAAGGTTTTTAAAAATTACATGACATTCAAATAGAAACATGACTCCCCACCTTCAAAGCAAGAGTGAATAATGAAATTGAAATAACATATTAGAAATATTTATTTTTCATTTTAAAACGATGAATGCATGTTCAATCCATCTATGAAAATACATCGGGATCGGTATACCTGATATAAACGCTCTGCTCTGCAGGCGACACAAAAATTCTCTGAAAGGGGGGGGGGGGGGGGTTGCACCAACCATTCCTCAAGTGCCTGTGCTCTTATGTTCCATATATATATTCTTGCTGCACATGTCAAGATGCATGTAGTATTTTGTTCGGGCAAGTGTTACATCTTTTTTAAATCCCTGTCTTAATGTCAGCAAATGTGATTTATATTTCAAATTCCCTGCATTATCCGTCCGGTAAGTTACAATTAATGGAAAAGGCATTCCAACAGCTACTACCGTCAAACAGTTCAATTGTGAGCGTGAATTTTGCTTTTCGCTTATGAAGTTGCATGCAAGAATCTTTTAAAAAAAACTCAGAGGGCGGGGGAAGGGGGTGTCTACCTATGCCTGTGTTTGTACTAAGCTAATAAGTATATAATTATGTACTTTATTGATCATGATTGATTGTAATGAATCGTATTGCTTTATACAATGACTTACGATGTCCTCCTCTAGGATGACCATGACTATCTCCCCTAGCAAATTTACTGCCGCCTTGTGATCCACCCCTCGTGTTTCCTGAATGTCCACCACTCTGTTTTCCATGAGATCCACCTCTGGATTTTCCCTGATTTCCACCTCTCCCTTTCCTGTCACTCATAATTTCTAAAAAAAAAAAATGCCTTCATTTTTCGCAAAGTTTAGCTGTTTTGCCTACAGTGCTTGTGGACAGGGACAGGACCATCCTCACCCCCGGAATATACACATCTGGTCCAAGGATATTTTTATTCGTTTTCTTTCATAAATTATTCTTCTAGCACACAGTTACAATGTATTCCATATGGAAATTCCAAAAAATAAATAAATAACGTAGAATTAATATTTTAGGTCAAAAAAAAAAAATGTGTGGTTCCGGTTACACCTAAAAAAAAAATAATGTAGGTAGGTAGTGATTTCCATGAGATCCACCTCTAGATTTTCCTTGATTTCCACCTCTCCCTTTCCTGTTATAATTTCTACAAAAATGCCTTCATTTTCAGGCACGTAAAATATCAAATCGTTAACATCAGATATATCGGACTACCGAACTAAATGCGCGAATCATTAAATTAGCCTATTCCGTGATGTTTACTGACCTTCTTTCCAGTCTTCGACTCCGCCATTTTCTCTGTTGCAAAGAACCTTTGCAAAGGGAATTAGACTGGACCCCTTGATAAACGAGTAACCCACGGAATTACGTCCCCACGAACAAGTAAAATTTTGCATGCCCACGAACATTGACCCCCACGAATATTAAAATGATTCCAGAGTATCCTTCCGAAATGCTTTGCATCATATACCTACCTACATATTGTAGAACAACATTTGCATGTAGCCTATAGATAGATACATGTGTATCAGTTTGGAGCCTGACTTTTATGTAAGGTGTGCAAGGAAGACTAAAATATACTATTTTCTCACACATTGACGGATTTCACTACAGTAAATAACAACCACGCTTTTTGAAAAAATGAAACTTTTTTGTAAAATGTAGATCATTTACTTTATGGATGTTTATAAGATCATAAAATGCAGAATTGTTTGCAGTTTCTTCATACGTTTTCAAATTAAAATTTAATTGTATAGACGTTGGTGGTGATTTCACAAATGCGCGAAGATTAAGTTGAACATTTTGTCTAGATGATTTCATAAATTATTCTCGTTTTCAAGATCCTTGAATTACATCTTGCTTAGTATCTCAAGAATTTTTTTCTTCATAATTTTGCATAATTCGTCAAAAATGTATGAGCCTTATTAAGCTAAAATTGACTGCACACTATTTTTTTCCTCACTAAAGAGTTACTTACACAGACGACTTTATTTTGACCCTATCCTGATGAGACGACATACTTTGGTCAGCTGGTGCAACACAGTTTGCAAATTGACCCGGAAGAACTGGCGAAGAAAGGATTTATGCTTCAACATCGAGATCAGATAGTCGTATTTGAGTGTTTACAGACGACAAAATGAATGTTTCAGCAGTACTTAGCTATGTGGTACAAATTGACAGATTCGGCGACGGCAGTGTTATGGTGTGGGACACGATTTCATACAACCAAAGAAAACAGCTGGTTCACATTCAAGGCAATTTAACGACACAAAGGTACCGATATAAAATCTCTCAATCTCACATTCATCTAGTCATTAATACGTTAACCGGAAGGGAAATTGTTCAGCGTGACAGCGCTAAGACGCATACAACAAATGCTACGGTTGACTCATAAGCGAATCACAGTGTTGAACATTTGTGGAACTAATTGGATCATTCTCTATATCAAGAGTTGTTCCCGCTACGCTCCCAAATACATATCTGTCAACGCTTGATATACAAGATTCTTCGGAAACATATAAATGGTAAAAAATTAAATTAAGTTTGTAATCGTTTTAAGCGATGATAGAATTAAAATAAATGATAAAATATCATCTTCATTGATAGTTACATTAATTTATTATGATTTGAATTCTACATCTTCAATTTTTAAAATCTTGTACAACGAGCGTTCAAGGGGTGTAGCGGAAGACTACTCTGGAAAGAGAATGTAATTGAATAAGTGCGTGCGCCTGTGTGAATAATGCAGCCGCAACTATAGTTGGCAATAACTGGCAATTTTGGATTTAACCGGCATTGCCTAAAAGGCCACCAGTTCTTCAGTTCTATGTCTTCTTCACTTCGCATGATATATTAATTGCAATAATTACATTTCAAAGAGTTGATTCAATGCCAATACTTTTACATACTGCGTTAGTTATATAGGAGAATATAAATATATATATGAGAAAATACATCTTTTGGTAACAGCAGAGCTAGCGCTCCATAGTATACAACGTCATTAAATCTAAATATGACGTCACAAGTGTACATAAAGGATGGAAAACAAAGATTTTTGAAGTTTTGAGCTTTCAGTTTTTATTTTATGCTTCTATTTGAATTTCTGTGAAAAAATTGGGATATGGGGGAAGGGGTATTCTTAAGGTGATCTCCTTGCTATGAACAATTTAAATAATAACTTGAAATTTTGTGATTTTGTCATATCCTGTGCCTATAAATTTGCCTTTTTGGTAAAACAATATTTATATAGTTTGATAATAATTATTGTTTGATGAAATATCGTTGGATGATGAACACAAAGAATTGCACAATTTCGTCAAAAAAAAAAAAAAAAAAAAAAAAAAAAAAAAACTGACCAAGAGAAGGTGCTTTAATTTACTAAATATTATATCTAACAAGCAGTGACAGTATGTCCGTAGGGTATGTGTTTGTTATTTTCAAAAGACGCAGCGAGATAATATTTATCTTTGAAATGCCTCTGTAAGTTTGCTGAAACCAATGAAATGGAAGAATTTTTTTTTAAAATCCTTATAGCAGCGATTTTTGGTTTAATTTTAAATCATCATATTCAGATACATATAAAAGAACACAAAATACACTGCATGAATACACCATTGTGAAACCAAACCCAACCGGGACAAAGAGGGTTTTCCGGAATCCAGTAAAATTCATCACAAAGTAAGGACACATATAATTTAATAAGTTTAGGTTGGTTACTAGTACATACATGTATCTATGAATAATAAAAAAACCGCACAGATAATGATAATTTGGGAAGTTTTAAAAAAAAGATGCAACAATGCAAAAGATGCAACAATTATTAAGGAATGTTTTTAAGTTTTGTGTGAGTGATTGGTGTGTAAATCACACAGACCTGTCACGTAGGCATATTTCATGAAGCACGCTTCAGCCATAAAGATGTGGCTAATTATATAATCTATATAGATCATGAAACACCTGAAGTTCATGGACATACTCAAGTAGGAACCCATACCAATTCAGGATTCGAGAGTTGTGGCCCAATAATGATTCCATTTCCTGGTGACCTTGACCTTCGATACAGGATCACAATACACCATCATGAGCAATAAATTACGAAATTTTCCAATTAATTGAAGTGTTTTGACCTGGGCATGATATTGTAAGACATACATGTACTTAAACAATAAAATGCTTTCTTTGGTTGTTAGTACGGGAGTAAATGTCGCAGCTGTTGCAGAAAAAAATATATAACCCGCGCTATTTTTCTGCAATAGCTGCGACGTTAACTCCCGTACTAACCAAAGAAAGACATTTTATTGTTTATATTAATATCTGTATAAATAATCATTTAAAGTAGAATTAAGAAGATTAATTATTGATATGCACGTCAGAGTACGTTTCATTGATGGAACAGCCACTGATCAATAAATCTGTACAGGTGATATGCCTATAGTGTTGTTCATAAACTGATAAACCGCAATGGTTTTATTTAGAAATAAAGGAGTAATTATTTATTGGATGTAAATATATGAGGAATATCTGGAGTGGAGAAATTGTCCACTTTGAAGTGCCCAGGGTGAATCATGAGAGCAATTTTAACATTTCTTCAAAGTAAAGACATCTGTGCTTGTTCTCATTTTCGGAAGTTAATCAGTTTTGTACTCAACTACTTGATTCTAATAATTACAAATTACAGCTTAAATGACATTTCACATATCTGAAAATGATGCATCACCACATTTAAACAACAAAAAAACAGACTGTTTTTATGACAAATTACATATGCTGATTGTGTCATGCAAATTACTAGTATACACATGTACAAATCCTTATTGCACTTCCGTTTATAAAAAAAGCATCAAAGATACTAGTATACCAAGAACCACCCTTCAATTGTGTTCTTTATATGCAATCAAAAACTCTGGATAGCACTGGTTCCTGTCAAAAATAACAAAAATAGAAGGGTTTCTGATATTGTCAACACAGGAATCGTATCTCGTGTGGCCTTGTCTAGGAATTGTTGGAGGACAGGTAATGCCCTCTCTCCCGTTGGTATATTTCCCAATCAGAACTCTAGCTTTAAACATAAATCGAGTGCACCCTTCTGTGTAGCAATTACTATAAGCTGCTGATACTGCAAAGTACGACCCTTTCCCGTATACAGTTGCATTTTTCCCGCTGAGTCGAAAGTCAAAATTATTGGTACATATACCATAACAAGTGTCAACTGAATCAGTACCGTGAAAGAGACTTCTTTCATCAACACTACTCTCCTTTTTAGCGAGAACTCTTTCCATATTTGATTTTTTCCTGCAAAAATTCAATTGAATTACTATCACAATAATAGACTATTCGAACAATTGTGTAAACTTTCTATTTTGTAAATTAATACGTAGTATGCAGTGAAATAGGTCCGAAGTGGTAACTGCATTCAAACAATGAATTACCGAAGCTTAGATTTTGTTGACTGACAGTCTTTTCTAAATAAGGACTGATTTTCAATACTTCGAATAAACTGGTGTACACACCGATGATCAACAAGAATCAACTGCTGACAAAGATGATTTTAATATAAGTGTCAGCTACTTACTTGTTATCATATTTATTCATTTAAATATTATGTATGTAGAAATGGCATCAAAAGCATCATAAATAGATGCAGATAAGGAAAACTTACATTTCATATTCTTTCCAAAGCACCAGATTCTGAATGCGGTAGATATTGCAGATCTGAAAACGGTTTTCACAAAGTGTCTTGAAGAAAGAACTCTTTATCTCTTTGAATTCTGGTGTTGTTTTATCTAGGTCAACCCATTCAAAGTCATGCGTTATATCCATTGGATCCCACACCTGAGGGTGTGGTTCAAGTGCAGGTACATTCAGAAACTTAGGACTGGAAGAAGAGTGGGAAATAATTAAAAAAAAATATATCTGTATAAAATCTTTGTATATTGATTGAAAGCTGAAAAGAGTCGAAATATAGAAAATCAAAATACACTTAAAAAAGCCAAAAGATAGTTTAAAATCAAATAAATTATTGTTTTTCATTGATTCTTTTTTCTAGTATGACAGAAGAACCATTGCAAAAACATCTGATCGTCATAGACATGTTTTTGTTTTTACTCATCTTGATGACATTAAGGAAGAGAGTAAATTCTGGAATGGAATATTAATACAGTTGTTTCCAAGGGATCGCACAGTTGATGATGTGTGCAGAAGCTTTATCAGATCAGTCCTAATTTAAGCCCTTCTCAAATACTTTTGCTGTCAGAGGACGGTCGATAATGCAAGAATTGACCAGCTTACTTACAATGACTTTGTTAAAACATCAGAGAGGCACACAAATTTCGGTCGTCTTGCAATCAAGCGAAGTTTGGAGGTGACATAGTTTAGCTGTGTCCAGTCGACGAATTCAATCCTGTATTGGTGTCTGTGATTTCGTCGGGTGAATAGGTAATTTTTTTGTCCCATTATGTATTTCTTTTCTAATGTGTATTGAAATTCATCCTAATATAAGAAACAAATTTTTACTATCTATCCTTCCAGTATGTTAAACATAGACTACGAGTAGATACATGTACATTACTTTTCAGATTTTTTTTTTCATTTCAGTACTAAATTGTGAATACTACATTGCACTGCATATACCGGTAAGCAAAAATAATCTTATTGAAGATATAATCAAAATAAAATAATAAATGTTATTGACCATATAACCTTTTCATACAGGATCCAGCGCCGGAAGTCATCTAGGAAGTACCACCTCCACTGAGTGTGGAATGAGCCCGATGTCAGAGGTGAGTCTTCCGTGGCAAAAGAAGTAGTAGATAGTCGTCGTGTTTCCAACGGGCAAGATGTGTTTAGTGGTTTTCCACCAGACTTTTCTATGATTCCATAATCTTTTGCAAATTGCACTCTGATTTCGAAACTCTCATTCCGAGCCATAATCTGAGTCAATGTAAAGTGAAGGTAGCTGATTTTCAAAGAAGACTTCTTGAAAATAACATTAACATGTTTAAATAAGGCAAGCACGTACCTTTGCAACTACCGTGTCCTCTAGACTGCAGTAACTTTTTTCCAGTTTCTGGTTTTCTTCGTCATCAAAGCTGACCCAGTCTCCATAGATACGGATCTGCCAGAGGTAGGGGAGCCGGGTGTGGTGTTTATCACAGTCCCTTTCCTGACAGCCCCCTGTCAAACCACTCAAACAAATGTGTACCTTATGGGCATCCGGTCTTTTCACACTGTTTAGTGATTGTTCCTCTGGATAAAAGAAAATTAAGAGGCCATGGACCCAATGCACTCCTAAGAGCCTTAGAATTAAAGAAAAAATCTACATGTATTATATTCTTTTATTACCTAACCTACTTTATAAATTGTTTGAACTGTTTCCTGATTCTTTTTACTGTTTTTGCAAATCATGAAACAGTCAAAACTGTTTACCCGGTCACAGAATGAACTGTTGCATGGCTGAACTGTTCCATTATGACGTCATACTAGTTAATTTCCCGTACTTTACAGCTATAATATTGAATTATGTATAAATTGAAGCATTTTTATTCAATTTGAAATTATCATCTGAAAAGTAAACCTGATACCAAGTTAAATATATATTCAATTTAATATCATTTCAAAGAAGAGGCCATGAACACCTTTTCTGAGGGTAGTTTGGGAAAAATGTAGGCCCCTTTCATTCAGTATAGATCTTTGCCATAAACGTGCAATATTCAAATCTTCAAGACATCATTATGTTGTTTACTACATGTTGTTTTTTTTTTTTTTCAATTTATTAGTGCATGATAATATCACACCCATTAATTTTTCTGATTTTACACCAATCGGTGTGAATATTTGATTAATATTCAACTTGTTTAGTTTGGGTTTTAAAAAATAATACAAACTTTTGTCAATGTATTTTAAAAGCCATTGATTATTAAGTCGATATCATTACTTTAAGAAATTATATAGTAGGTTAGGTAATAAAACACTTATTTCATGACAACTCGGGAAACAGTCAAACTGTTGTCCCGAGGTAATGGGGAAGACCTGGGAAACTGTTGCCCTCGGCCTTCGGCCTCGGGCAACAGTTTCCCAGGTCTTCCCCATTACCTCGGGACAACAGTTTGACTGTTCCCCTCGTAGTCATGAAATAAGTGTATAATGAAAACTATGATCCCATTTTGGTCATTCTCTTCTCCTTAGACTTCAACTTCACCAAACTTGAATCTTAGCATGGATATCGATATACAATGAATTTCTCTATATACATCATATTGTACATTGATCTCCTTTTCAGCCCGTAGGCAACAACTCAACTAAACAAGAGGCCCATGGGCCACCTCGCTCATCTGAGCACTATGGCTTGGGGAAAAGTCAAGTAAGTTTTGAAAGGTTAAAATATAAAAGTGGGGGGAGGAGGCATGATTAAGAACACTCTTGAATCTACACTATCTGAGGATGCTTCTTAATTAATATGACTAATCATGGCTTTGCTGTTCTTGATGAGAAGTTTTTTAATGATTTTTCCTATGCATATGTATATTCATATGTATAACTTTGATCACCCATTGTGGCCTCTCCCAACTCCAGGAGTCATGATTTTAACAAACTTGAATCTACACTACCTGAGGGTGCTTCCATGTAAATATAACTAATTATTACTTTGCTGTACTTGAAAGATGATTATAAAAGATTTTTCCTATGTCTTCGTATGTAAAAGTTTGATTGCAAATTGTGTCCTCTCCCTACCCATGGGGGTCATGATTTGAACAAATTTGAATCTGAACTACGTGAGGATGCTTCCAAACAAGAGGCCCATGGGCCACAACGCTCACCTGAGTCAATATGGCCCTGCTGTTCTTTGTCAGCAGATTTCTTCTTCTATATATTCATACGTAAAGCTTTGATCAACTGTTCTAGGCATAACCTACCCCCATTTGCCATGTTTTGAATGAAATTGAATCTAAACTTTCTGAGGATGCTTCTATATTCATATAACTAATCATGGTTTTGCTGTTCTTGAAACGGAATTTTAAAGATGTCTGCCATCCTACCCTGGGGGAAGGAAGGGAGGGGGGGGGGGTTCAAGATTTGAACAAACTTGAATATACACTACCTAAGGATGCTTCCATATCAATATGACTAATTATGGCTTTGTTGTTCTTGAGAAGAAGATTTTTTAAGATATTTCTTATATATATTCTTTTGTTAAACTTTGATCCCCGATTATGGCCCCACCCTACTACTGGAGGATGCCTTGAACAAACTTGAATCTACAATACTTGGGGATGCTTCAATATCAAAATGACTAATCACGGCTTTCCTGTTCTTTAAAAGATATTAAAAGATTTTTCCTATTTATTCCTATGTAAAACTTTGATCCCCCATTGTGGACCCACCCTACCCCCGGGGTTCTTGATTTCGACAAATTTGAATCTACACTACCTAAGGATGATTCCATATCAATATGACTAATTGTGGCTTTGTTGTTCTTGAGAAGAAGATTTTTAAAGAATTTTCCTATATATTCCTATGTAAAACTTTGATCCCCCATTGTGGCTCCACCCTAACCCCGGGGGTCATGATTTGAACAAACTTGAATCTACATTACCTGAGGATGATTCCATATCAAAATGACTAATTGTGGCTTTGTTGTTCTTGAGAAAAAGATTTTTAAAGAATTTTCCTATATATTCCTATGTAAAACTTTGATCCCCTATTGTGGCCCCACCCTACCCCCGGGGGTCATGATTTGAACAAACTTGAATCTACATTACCTGAGGATGATTCCATATCAGAATGACTAATTGTGGCTTTGTTGTTCTTGAGAAAAAGATTTTTAAAGAATTTTCCTATATATTCCTATGTAAAACTTTGATCCCCCATTGTGGCCCCACCCTACCCCCGGGGGTCATGATTTGAACAAACTTGAATCTACATTACCTGAGGATGATTCCATATCAGAATGACTAATTGTGGCTTTGTTGTTCTTGAGAAAAAGATTTTTAAAGAATTTTCCTATATATTCCTATGTAAAACTTTGATCCCCTATTGTGGCCCCACCCTACCCCCAGGGGTCATGATTTGAACAAACTTAAATCTACACTACCTGAGGATGATTTCATATCAATATGACTAATTGTGGCTTTGTTGTTCTTGAGAAGAAGATTTTTAAAGAATTTTCCTATGTAAAACTTTGATCCCCCATTGTGGCCCCACCCGACCCCCGGGGGTCATGATTTGAACAAACTTAAATCTACACTACCTGAGGATGATTTCATATCAATATGACAAATCATGGCTTTGCTGTTCTTGAGAAGAAGATTTTTCAAAGAATTTTCCTATATATTCCTATGTAAAACTTTGATCCCCCATTGTGGCCCCACCCTACCCCCGGGGGTCATGATTTGAACAAACTTGAATCTACATTACCTGAGGATGATTTCATATCAATATGACTAATTGTGGCTTTGTTGTTCTTGAGAAGAAGATTTTTAAAGAATTTTCCTATATATTCCTATGTAAAACTTTGATCCCCCATTGTGGCCCCACCCGACCCCCGGGGGTCATGATTTGAACAAACTTGAATCTACACTATGTAATGCAGGTTTCCCATAAGTTTCAACTTCTCTGGCCCAATGGTTCTTGAGAAGAAGATTTTTTAAAAAAAGACACCAAATTTTCACTTATTCTTAATTATCTCCCCTTGGAAGAGGGCATGGCCTTTCATTTGAACAAACTTGAACCCCCTTCTTCCAAGGATGCTTTGTGGCAAGTTTGGTTGAAAATGGCCCAGTGGTTCTGGAGAAGAAGTCGAAAATGTGAAAAGTTTACAGACGGACGGACGGACAGACGGACAGACGGACTAAGGACAAAATGTGATCAGAAAAGCTCACTTGAGCTTTCAGCTCAGGTGAGCTTATAAATATCACCAATCATGGCTTTGATGTTCTTGAGAAGAAGATATTTAAAGATATTTCCTATGTATTCCTTTATAAAACTTTGATCACCCATTTGGCCATTGTGGTCCCTCCCTACCCAAGGGATTAGGATTTGAACAAATCTGCTTTAACCTTAGGATGCTTTCATTTTAATTTTACTATGTCTTTGCTGTTCTTGAGAAGATTTTTTTAAAAGATTTATTCCTGTGTAAAATTTTGATCCCCCATTGTGGCCCCACCCAACCCCGGAAGTCATGATTTGAATAAACTTGAATCTACTTTACCTGAGGATGCTTCCATATCAACATCATAGCTTTACTATTCTTGAGAAGAAGAAATTTAAAATGTTCCCCTATATATTTCTATTTAAAACTGTGATCCCCCATTGTTGCCCCACCTAATCCCCAGGGGTCGTGATTTGAACAAACTTGAATCTACACTACTTGAGGATGCTTTCATAGCAATATGTCTATACATGGCTTTGCTTTTCTTGAGAAGAAAATTTTCAAAGACATTTCCTATACATTTCTATGTAAAAATTCAACCCCCTCTTGTGACCCACCCTACCCCGATATGAACAGACTTGAATTAAGAGTATGTAATGAAGCTTTCACATAAGTTTCATCTTTTGTTGCCCAGTGGTTCCAGAGAAGATTTTTAAAAGATTCCACCACATTTTCACTATTTTACATTATCTCCCTTTCGACTCAAGTGAGCTAAAAACTACAATGGGATTCAGACATACAGTGTATCAAGATGAATAACTGAGATTCTGCAGTTTTTCATAAGGTCTTTTCATATACATGTATACTTCTCTGTCAAACGTTGGTCCCCAGTTCAACCTTAGCCCCGTGGCTAATGATTTTAACAATCTTCAATCTTCACTACAAGATGGCGTTAGTATTTATCAATATGACCAGTGGTAACTCTCTGTTCTAGAGAAGTTTTTCCTACATACTCCAATATAAAACTGTGTTCTTCAGCTGTCCAAAAAATTCACAAATACATTCTACTTGCAAATAAGATTTTGTTGCCTGACTTTGTTGTACTTAAGAGGATATTTTAAAAATCCTTTCTATTTCATTATTTCTAAATTATATCACCTGAAAACGGACATGATTCTTCAACTCTACAACAAGAATGTTTAATGGCAAATTTGTTGGAATTTGGCCCTGTTGTCCCTGAGAAGAACCACTGTTGAACCAAACTCGAAAATGTAAATAGTTTTAACAACAGACGGAGAGACAGAAAGAAGGTGGACAACCTTTGATCAGAAAAGCTCATGAGAGATAAATATATTAGGTTACATGCATTTTTTACTGGAAAACACTGTAGGATATTAAAAATATATATATATTTTATAATTACGTTCGATTTTGCAAATGGCAGAAGAAATACTGGTTAGCTGGAGAAAATGTGATTTTTGTGGTTTTTGTGGCTTGTTGATCAAAACCTTAAGTAAAGATAGATTTTGCTTCGGCCATCTCTCCATTCTGTATACCGACAGTACCCACTTGTTATGTGGCGTATCAAACGAATGTCCTTCACGACAATAATCGTTATTACATCTATTCCTGATAAAGTTGTAGCAAATATGAAGATATGGACAAACTTCCCCAGCATTGCAGTCTCTAATGTTACACACTTGAGGGTATCTATTTAGAAGTATAACTTTCATTTCCTTATTGGTATATTTGGATAATCCAAGCTTTTCTTTTAATCTCCCATTGTGCGCATCTTCAAAGCCATGTCCTTTTCTGCATTTATATCCAAGTCTGCACCAACCATTCAGATAGAATTTGCAAATATGAAATTGGTTACAGTTCACTCGGTCACAAATGCTATTTTGTTCCATGTGATCTGCACAAAGAGTGGCTTCCTTGAGGAAAGGCCCAATGTAAAGTGGAGGGGAGTTTTCTTGTTTGTAGACAAGTAGCCTTTCCTTGTGGTCCAAGATCCACTCGTCAAAATTAGATTGCAGGTCGTAAAAGTCCTCCTTTAATCTTGAAACACTGGCACTACCGCCTACCGATTTTACTAAAAAATCGAAAATGGGCAACTCTGAAGAACTCCAACTGTCTTCATCCCGACTTATGCTTCTTTTGGGAGGGCGAGTCTGGTGATAGTAATTGTTGTCACTGCTCGAGGGCAACCCATTGTCACTATCATCACATGTACACTGGGCGCTGGGATTTGACCAACCTGCTCCTCTTCTCCTCCCCCTTCTTTGACCCCTGCCCCTGCTTCTTGGAACATTTGGAAGAAACGGCATGCTTTTACTTCTCTGCATCATGTATTTTTAATTTAACCTGTATTGCAATTATTTAGGTATCTGCATTAATCTGAGTTAGACCAAGGTATTCATGCACTATCCTCTTTGATGGTAAACTATGGTATTCCTTGAAATTAGATTTTCTGTACTCTGAAACAACAATTTATTTTTCAAAAATTAAAAAAAGTGTGTTGAAAACAACTAAGGTGAGTTCATAGTAAAGGAACAACTAAATCTTATAGACACGGTGCATAAAGCTATAAATATTGGTCATAATTATTCTACCGAGTCAACAGCTCTTACCTGTATTTTTGTAGTTTGGATTAATGGAACTTTCGCATCTGCTTTTATGAACTGATACTAAACTTCAACTCGAGATACAATGGTGATCAAGTATATGGTTTTATCAGTGCAGAGTCATAAGGTTATCGGAATGCACCAGTTGTTTAACTGTTTATAACGTTCTAGATAACGTCCTATCTACGTCCAGAAATCTCAAATCTCACTGGTATTTGAAACTGCAGATTGTACATCAAAATGTTTGGATTACCTCTTACCTGACTGAAACATTAACAACATACGAGGTCTTATGAAGTTGACGCCCACTTGCTAATGTGAAATACCTGCATATGATTGCGGAAATGCACAGCAAGAGATAACTTCCTTTGAAAGTAAACGAACCTGAACGTAATCGGAACGCAAAAGGCCCATGGGCTTAAAGGATCATCTGTGTGTCAATAATTTTTTTCTGAGCAACTGTTTTAGCTTTTTCTCTTTCCTAAGCACTCCTTTGAAAACTATGAGAGCTTTAATTCCCTGCTGGTTTTCAAAAAGACAACAATTTAATCGAATTTGATTGATTGATTGTAAATTGTTTAACGTCCCATTCGAGAATTATTTTTCACTCATATAGAGACGTCTTAATCGAATTTAACACTAAACAAATGCATTTTCATAATAATCCGACATTTAGAAGCCTCGTTGTCAGTAAGGTCTTTAAAAGTAAATTCCTTTACAATGAAGTAAAAAGTATAGACCCTCCCCCTTTTTACTGCATACTGATGACTGCATATGAATTCGACATTTTGTAAGATTTCTATTACTCAGAAAAAATTCTTTAATATATACATATATTGCCTCTAAAACTTGAACCTCCTTTGTGACCGTATCCTTTCAATTAAGGAATAGTTTGAAAGAGATTTATAAGGGTCTTATTTGCTGTAGAGAAAGTCACATGGAGTCTCGAGTGCTAGAGCTTTTGACAAAATTTGTCCTCTCCACAGAGATTTAAATAAAGCTTACTTTTGTTATTCAGATAACGGAGAGGTCAACCTTACCGCTACGTTGCAAAAAAAAAAAAATCAACTCATTACCGCTACATTTCTTCGAAATTTTGAGTGATCGTTAACGCTATATTTTATCAATGAAACAACCGGTGATTACGATTATGTTAATAAAAAACAAGGTGGTATTTTTGGGGTTCGAACCCTTGAAATAAAATTTCCTTTGAGCCTCACCCGCTGACCACTACCCTACGCAGCTGTTGAAGAATTAAGTGTCATTTAAATCATGTTTGTGATATGACCCTTGACAAAATGGACTTCAAGTATTTCTCGGAAAGATGCGAATGTTTTGTCATAAAAGTGTATTTTTAAGGTTTAGTAGGTCTTTGCTCCACGTTTTTGTTAACAAAAAAAAAATGGATATTTTTACACAAACTTTGATGATAAACTTTTTAAAAAATGGAGTTAAGACCCACTCCTATCGAAAAAATTGTGTAATAGTATGAGAAAATGATCCTTTTGCTCTCTTTATTGTGTGTATGCAATTTCATACCAGGAAAATCATTTCAATCTTTGAGAGATTTTTGCAAATTGTGGAAATTCTACATAAAGTGTAATTTAATGTTAGATGAAATATCAAAGAAGATGTTGTTATAATTGAGATATAATTTTCACCTTTATGTTTGTCGCTCCATAGGCATTTCACTCGCCTTGTTTGCTAATCTTCTTTTAAAACATGCTCTAAATCATAATTAAAAAAAGCTAAATCGTTAAGTTATTTACATTTACTTTAAATCGCCACAAATACATATTTCTACGGATAAATTAATTTTTCGAAAGGCAGTATTAAACGAATAAAAATAAGACATCATGCATTATGATAAAGTATCTATGAGATATTATATTATATTTACCCCGTTTTTAACTGGATATCTATCCACAGCATAGATTTTTTTTTTAAAAATCATGTGACTTATATTGATTTTCATGAATTGATCCTGAAGCTTTATGCAAACATAAAATCATTACTTTTAATAACCCATAAGACATAAATTCTGAAATGCAAGCACACTGCATCGTATGTCTGACAACATATGGTGCTATCATTTCAATAGCAGCTTGTCAATTTGTTTAATGGAGCGTGCTAAAGTTTTAAATGTTTATCACCATTTTTCTTATAGATTAGATGTTTGATTTCAATGAAGTATATACTACTTTGCATATGAACAGAGAAGCCAGCATTTGGCTTTGACTGACCAGGTGTTACTGTTTATTACAAATGCTGTACTCTTAAACAATTATTCAATGCGATTCGTCATTGTCAGTGTATTGCTGGGTTCTCTCTTTTATATACAAAGTAGTATTCATTTCATTGAAAGCAAACATTCAATCGATGAAAAATATGATCAACATTTCAAACTTTAGCACTCTCCATCAAAAAAAGTGAGACGCTGTTATTGGAATGATAGTATGATCATTTTTAAGTAACTAGAGCAAATTGGTCAAGAAAGCTTCTTGATCAAAATTTTCTTTCAGTCGTTTTTCCTTTAGATTGTCGCCAATACACTTTTCTTTTTTTATTTTAAATTTTCCAGAAGTCAACAAAAGAATTTCAATTAAGGAGGATGGGCGAACAATGCGAGCAAAATGCCTATTGTGTGACAAATGAAGAAGTGAAAAATTAAATCTCAATTAAAAGACAAATTTTCTTTGATATTCATTTAACATTATGGAACACTTTATGTGTAATCTCCACAAATCTCAACAATCTCATAAAGATTGAAACTATTCGTCTATGAAATCGCATACATACACCAACGAGGGCAAAATATCAATTCTACGTACTAAAACATTTTTTTCCATATGAGTGGGTCTTCGATTCATTTTTTAAAAGATTTTATTCAAAGTATGCGTAAAAAAAATAAAATATACATTCTTCGGTTGCATGGAGCAAAGACCCACTGTACCTTAAAAATACGCTTTTATGACACAACATTCGTATCTTCCCGAGAAATATAATAGTCCATTTAGTCAAGGGTCATATCACAAACTTGATTTTTAGGAGCGGTATAGCTAGTGTTTAGCGTGTAAGTCTCGAAGGCGAAAATTGATACACAGGATTTTTATTGCTTGGGTTCGAATTCTAAGAATATCACATTTTCTTTTTTTCTTTTTCGTTTTTTTTCTTTTTGAATATTTGCCAGAAGAATTTTCGGCAGAGGTTTTGTTTATCATAATTTCATACTTTTCAAAAATGAGAATTTTCATCTAAATACTACTTTAACAAATTGAATATGACTTTTTAAAACATTTGAAGTAATAGGCATTATGCAAGCCTTGTTCGCTCATCTTCATTGACACAATGTATTCTTGGTTTAAGGGAATTTGGATTTTAGCAAATGGACGATAACCTCTATTTCAGGGAAGATAAAGAAAACAAATGAATATGGGTTAAGTTGTATAAAAATCTTATCGAGAACCCTGCCAAGAAAAACAAAAGATACATGTATATGAAATCTTAGCCTATCGTGATCCCTGCTGGGACTGCATTTACAGAATAAAGTTTTGTATGAAAATATATAAGAAAGCTTAACTATATGTATATTAAAATTATATAAGAAAACTATGTATATTAAAAATCTTCTAAAGCAGAGCAGAACCACACTTAGTTATATTGATAGTCAAGAATCCTCGTGTACTGAAATTGTTTCGTCAAATCATGACCCTCGGGGATCGGATAAATTTTAATGTATAGTACGTAGGTATAAATCTTCTGGCCTGTATGTAGCTATTAAATAAGCATTTTCCTATAGTGTAAGTCCAGTTGTGTTAAAATCATGGCTCCTGACCCTAAGGTAATATTGCAGTGAAATAAGTTATTGTCATTTATTTTTGGAATGTATAATTACAATTGTCAAGTACTCCACTCCACATAAGTGTTTATTATCGAAAGAGATACTAGTATTCACAAGATACTAGTAATGTATCATATTGCATTATATCTAACATCAAGAATCTGTCAAGAAGTTATATAGTTTGATTAACAATGTATGATCCTAGAGTGGCTAGTCAGCTTGAAGGATGAACTTGCATGTAAGGGCCATGAATTTCATACTTTGGTAAAGGTCTCATTGCGAATTAAAATCAAGCAAACAGTTTTACTTTAAAGTATCTACAATGTAGGAGTAAAGAAGATTTCTGATATTAATTTTGATGGCTTTACTTACAACGCTGAACGGACAAAGGCAAATAGAGATTGGTCACCTGAGTAAGCTAAAGATAAAATAAAAATTAAAAAAGAACTGGAGCAAAGCTCGTTGTATACATAGAGGATATCTGTATTTTTTGTTTTGATATTTGCTTATCCAAAGAGTTGAATGGTGTATATTCTCGAGGCTTGCCGAACGAATATACACCATTTCAACAAGTTGGATAAAGCAAATATCAAAACACACAATTATAGATGTTCTCATACAATTTTCGTTTGAGCGTCTGCTCTAGAGTCGCGAAGTAAGGAGTTGATCCTTACGTCGCGGGTTCGAATCCCACCGTGGGGCGTGGAGAGCGGTCCTTCGGATGAGACCGTATAAACCGAGGCCCCGTGTCGCAGTAGGTGTTGGCACGAAAAAGATCCCTCACTGCTCAATGGCCGTAAGTGCCGAGTATAGAACAAAATTTGCAGCTCTCCACCGGCAAGTGGTGGCGTCTCCACTTACAAGGTCAAAGGAATCGTCCAACTACAACTTAACTGCTAGGTCTAACGTTTCCTATGTGTGTGTGTGAGGGGGGGGGGGGTGTTAACATCATCCATCGCTGTAGCCAGTACATTGATAAATTTTGACGTTTCACTGAAGTGTAATGAGTTTTTTCTTGTTTTTAACGAAAATTTTTGCTTATTAGCATTCATTTGATAACACAGAACTTTCACAAAAAGAAGTTTCGATAAAATTACATCTTGAAGCGAGGCCGAGGGATTTTGTCGAAACCGGAAGTGCTATTGATAAAGCACATACCCGTGGATTAACCATAGGCTTATGGGCAGAATCTACCACACGTATGAGATAAACATAGATCGTTACACATTGTAATGAAATTTAATTATATTTATAAAGCACATTATACAACAACTCTTAAACTAACATAAATGCCCTAAGTGAAGAAGTATTAATATAGAAAGCACAAAGAAATTCACTTTTTTATAAGGATGCCCACTTCCACCCCAACCCAGGATTGAACTTTCGACCTACGGAATCTGTCTCCTAGCAGTACAGGAACAGCGCGCTAGACCGCTCGGCCATCTAGGTAAGTCAGAAAACTTGCTTTCGATGCCGATGGAATTCATATACATGTATATATAGATCGGCAATGTTTGTTTTATATACGGACAATGATAGCTGTTTCACTCGATATGGTTCCTGTATGCGATCGATGAGAGGGTTACGTAAATTTAATCAAACACAAAACATTGGGTATATGTAAAATACATGCAGTTAAAGACTGAATTATTTTATATTATTTTTAAGTCAACATATTGTTTGTTTCAAAATTAAACAAAAGATAAAGATAAACGCGGATGTTTATTTTGTTTACGATAGCGAAAAACGCAGATGTTTGTTTCCCGTCGCAGGTCGAGGACACACGCAGTGGATGTCTGGTCGATCGAGGGGTGGGTTACATAACTGTAAACACAAACAGCCAGGTTAGATGCGTGCAGTTAATGACTGTGAAATGTTTTACGCTTAGATGTTTTTTAAATGAATACTGTGTGTTTTAATATTAAACAAAGAAATGACAACATTTTCTTTTTCTCTTTTCTCGAAGTCTTCAATTGGTTATTTTAAAACGGAGAAAGGAGAAAGTTGTCACTGAATATTCCGTAAGGAAACCACAAAATAAACATTCAATGTAGTAAGGAATGTTATTTTTAGCAAGTTTATTTCATTTATATGCATGCAGAATTATCCTTCACTTGCCGAAAGAAAACACTTACCTGTTCACAGGTCCAGCTTTTTACTTATAAAATACACAAGACTCGAACCAAAAAAAAAAACCATTTTCATGAGATCAATAACATGTCTAAGTTCAACTTTTCCAGCGAAAGCCATATCGAAATATTTTACCGTTTTTGAGTTAAAAAGCAAAAACTTTCAAGGGCCCTAGATCCCTAATTTTAAGGGCCAACCCCTTTTTAGTGGTATATAAGGAAAGGCCTTAACATGTGCACAACTTTTTTCTACAAAATATTTTTAGAAGACAAAAAAGAAAATATATGCAATTTTTGACCCCTATATAGTGTCATTTTTGAATGCAGAAATCAAAAAACAAAAACCGATTGGCACAACTTTTGTATGCTTCTATTACTTAAAGTCAGTAGTATTTCTGCTTCAGGTTTTGTAGTCTCGGAGCCTTTGTTTGGAAATCAAAGTCTCTAAATTTTCATTGAAAGGGAAATAACTCAAAAGCGGAAGTGATTTTTAAAATGTAGTACAACATTCTGATGGGGTTTTGTAACGTCTACAAAATCTGAAAATTTGAGCAAAATCCGTCGAAAATGAGGAAGATATGAGTCTCAAAGTTAGCATCTAGGAAAAAGACGGAAAAAAAGAATAATAATCTTAACCAACACAATCAGTAGAAGGTTTACCTTTGGCAACGGAACGCCTTAACAAATTTTATGGTCTCTTTTTATATTTTTCCGATTACTTATGTTAATTAATTATCCCTTCAAAATCCACACAACACAAAAACACAGTCAAATGAATACATCACCCAGGCTCTCCGGGTTGCAGTATCACATACGTGCAAAAATACCATCTGCTAGACATATTTACTTTTCGTAATATAATGCATAAAATGCAGTTGAATTTGCGCAATACATGTTAACCTTTTCTTTTCAAAAATGTCGTAGAGATGTTCTATATATCATTTCATTATTTGACTTTAAACATGTGTAAATAATGACACTGCATCTATAAAATTCAAAAAGTTGTAGTCGCTGTCTCTTGCAGTATTTCAATAGAATATTCTTATGCATACAGGCAAGCTAATACACATTGTAGCAAGACAAAAGAGATATATATGAACAGTGACTTGAAAAAATACCTAGGAAAACATATTTCTTCTACTTGAGCAAAATCAATTAATCAGTGACCAATTTATTTATCAAAATCATGTATCTGAAGATATACAGAAAAATAAGACTTGCAGAGCCAAAAATCCCATTTAGTAAATAATTCATATAGACAGGTTTTATGGCAAAAGAGAATCAATGTTTTGTACTCATTTATGAACCTTTTGTTCTACATATACCTATACAAAAAAAAAACAATAAACAGAACCCTTCAAAAAGTTACAGTAAACACGTATGATTCTGTGCTCTTTTTACCTCAAATTCTACTTCACTGAATTGTACACTTGCTCTTTTTCCGATTTCTATCCGGTAGAGATCTAAACTTAGAGGAAGGTGTTGTATTTCGCACAGAAATTTGTTTTGAAGAAGTTGGGTGATGGCTGTAAACTTTGTCGCAATCAGTAAAAACATTTGAGAAGTTTGGGTGTGCTGGAGAACTTGAACTTATAAAAGTGGAATGCGTGGTACTGTTTCTCTGACTAGTAGGAGCGCTTGTTTGGCTAATGGTGGGATTGGAACTTCCAACAGAAGATTGCAAAGAAGTAAATGAGAAACCACCAGCTGCTTGAGAACTTGCAGGAATTTTCGACACGCCACCAGAATGAATGCTACTTGAAGTTCGAATGGCAGCGGAGTGACTTTGAACGCTGCCGATTTGCCCTGAGGTAGTTGATGGCACTGAATTGTTTACATTGGAGAGTCTTGAAGCCTTTAGTTGATTGTTTCTTACAGGTATTGGCCATTGTAGAGAAGTCCCTTCAGAAATGTCTTTATATGCAATAAGGTACTCTGGGTAGCATTGATTTCTATCAAACACAACAAATATTGAAGGATTTGTGACGTCATCCACACAGGAATCATATCTTTTATGGCCCTCTCCTGGAATAATTGGTGGGCATGTCATTTCATGTTTTCCTTTAGTATAGTTTCCAATCAAAACTTTCGCTCTAAACATCAAATGAACTGGACCTTTTGTGTAATTGTTACTATACTTTGCTGAGACTGCAAAGTAAGAACCTTTACCATATACAGTCGCATTTTTTCCGCTCAAACGGAAATCAAAATTGTTGGTACATATACCGTAACAAGTGTCAGAAGAATCGGTACCATGAAAGAGACTTCTCTCATCAATGCTTCCTGTTTTTCTCGACTGGGCTCTTTCCAGATTTGCCCTTTTCCTGCAAAGGAAATAAGCTATAGTGTACATGGCAATCCAGTGAGTAGTACAGTCATGTGCATTCTAGGTACAAATTAGAGTTAAACGACTTGATAAAATTGAAAATTAGAGGGTTTGTTTTTATTCACACAAAAGTCAAATGTTTTACTAGTATTTTGACTAAAAATTCAATAAGATTGTCTTAATTCTAATTTTCGTGATCAATTATGAAAATCATTTATCTGAAGATATATCAAAACAAAACTGTAAGGGACAAAATTAATTAATAAATTAAATATTTTACAAGGATGTACTAGTATTTACGCTCAGATTTTTTAACCACAAGAAATTTTATGAATTCCTCCAAATGTCAAATGGGGAATTGGGATTTTTGTTTTGTTTTGTTTTTACTTTAGATTACTATTCTACAAGACGTCATGAAAAAAAGTCATTTCCTTAGCGAAAATTTACCAATATACGGAACTAAATATATAAGGAAAAAATATATCTTACATTTTGTATTCATTCCACAAGCTTAGATTCTGAATACGATAGATGTTGCTTATTTGAAACTTCTCCTTCCTGAGTGTTGTATAGAATTCAGTCTCGACACTTATAAATTCTCTGCTTGTTTTCTCTAAATCGACCCATTCAAAATCATGCGCTAAGTCTAATGGATCCCATCCAGCAGGATAAGGTTCAGGAATGGCAACATCCAATAATTTTGGACTGAAACGAGAATAAGAGGATTATTTTAAATAAATGATTACATAGATAAATGATTATATACAAACAAAATAAAGATTTACATGTAGTTATAAATATGAATCATATCTATAGGATAATAAATTTTCTGCTCTTGATATTTGATTTTTTTTTATTAATTTCTGGTTTAAGAAAAAAAAAACTCACTACTGCCATGATCCTACTTCAGCCAAAGAAACAAATACAGGTCTTCTCTGAATCTTGCGAACCTTATTGATGTCAATATTTATTTGCTTCCACTCTGTAAACTCCACCCTGTACTTTAATGTGTGACTCTCCCTGGTAAATATATAGCTTTTTTGCCCTGTTAAAAATTTCTTCTCTAGTGTGTATTGAAGAAGATCCTAAAACAAAACATCAGATGAAAGGTATGAAAGGCATGGATCTTACACAAGTATATATAATTTAACAATTCATGGATCCATTGGATAAATATAACGTTTTATATGGTATCTTGCATGTTTGTTTGTTTGTTTGTTTTTTTTTTTTTTTTTTTTTTTTTTTTTTTTTTTTTGAGTTATTGGCAAAATACAAACGGTTTACCACTATATGTCGTATTTAAAATATTTTCAATTCTGCTGATATTTGAATTTTTATTTGAAAACTTTTTTGTTCATACTTATGCATTGTTTTTATTCTTGAAATTCAGGGTTGCCGAACTACATCTTAATTTTGATAATCTCTTCTTTCCTTACAAGATATGTGGTTTTTAATTTTGCAATTTTCTAAATGCCAGGAAAAATACATTTGTATGTATTTTTTTCCTGTACGTACAATTACAAAACTGGTTGACAGGGGATGCTTTCTCTTCCATGGCACCTGATCCCACCTCTGATGTTTTTAGAGGCCCGCGTTTGCTCTGCTCCCGATTTGTATTGCTTCAATGGACTTTTGAGCTTGTTAACTGTTCGTTTTCTCCATATTTCATTTCATCTTGGTGTTATTATAAAAAATTCTTCGGAATTACAAGGTTTTCATTAGAATACCTGGACTATATCACGTGGTCTAAGTAGCAAGGATTATTGTTTAAATACATGTTTAAGACGACACGTAGAACATGATAAAAAATTTATGTATATTAAGATTTATTTAATCCAAGTTCTTGACATACATGTACGTTCAATTACATGTATGTACTATTTAAATTTGATAACTTATGTGGGTGAATTAAAAAAAAATGACCACCAAACTGAATTTTTTTGGCAAAATTCAACTACTTATAACATATTTTTCACTTATATCATCATATTGCAAATGCATTCTAGTTTAAATTCCTGAAGTGGCAATAGAATAGACAATTGGATTAAAAAGTTTCAGAATTTTTATGAGTAAAATTTCTTTTGAAAAAATAAAATATCATTACACCTTAAAAGACTTTCTAAAATACATAATCACAAGAAATTATAGATTTTATGCTTCAAAATGGTAAAAGGGGTATAAATGATTAAATCTAGACCTTGAATGAGTATCTTCTCTTGTACATGTGACAAAAAATTGGCTTTTTGATTGTTATTTTACATAATTTTTTTTCAATTCTGGTTTGAAAAGTTTTAATATGAAAAAAATATGAAGCAATAAAATTCCCCAAAATTCACTTTTTTATCCGTTCAGGTCAATTCTTTAAATCTAAGCCAAAAAAGAATTGTTATATACGAGTTCTCTTACAAAAAGTACTAGATTTTGAAGTGACCCTATGTTACATTATTGTGTTGCACTCCTGACTTCTGATATGTATTTTATTTAACATTGTTTTAAAAATTATAACACACAATAACCCACTCTTACTTTGTTAATCAATTTGTCGTGTTGATATTTTTCATCGTTTACAGCAGGTTTTTCATATTTTGAAGACCTTAAAACGTGATTATTTGAAAAGTGTAATATATATAAATTTTATTTAAAATATAAGTGAAATGATGAAAACTATTCCCTGAATTGACTGTAAAATTTCTGTAATTTGTTGATAGACATAGTGTTTTGAACATCAAATAGTATCAAGCATTTTTTTTTCAACTTATTTTTTAGTAAAGATAGTTAAAAAGCATCGGTAATTATGAAACAGTTTTGTTGCACTCCTGACTGCAGTAAAGTTTAAAATTTAAACCATAGAACACAAAAATTCATAAAGTGTTGGCAACATCAAGTGGTAATGAAATTTTGCAATATTTATAGTCCAATACTTCATAATTAAAACAGACGAAAGTATTTAAAATTCGCATTTTATCTGGAATTATACCCTATTTTATGCCAAAAAAACTACCTTAAATGTATATTTAGAAGATAAAATATATTTTAAAGCATATTTTCCTTTAGAGGACAAACACAGTAACCCACCAGAAAATTTCTACTCGTCATTTTTTCTTTATTTTTATTCTTAGTGGATGATTTATAATTCTAACATATTTGTTGCACTCCTGACCAAAAGCATTGGGACCTTTAAAGTAGAATTGTGAAGTGAAAATTACATAAGAACTTGTTCTGTTGTTTCAGTGAAGTTGAGGAGGAATTACTTGAATTTAATGACAATGTTTTAGTGTGTTTATTTTTAACATTCATTAAAAAAAATCACAAAAAAGATAAAAACACATCTGAATTGAAAAAATTGAAAAATGAAGAATTTTAATAATAAAACTATCAATAATTTAGCATTAAATTATACAAAAAGATCATTATTAATTAATGAATACCTCTAAGCATGAATAGAAGTCTTTTCGACACACAACTTGAATCTTTAAAAAAATGTGTTGCACTCCTGACCATAGAAATATAGATCTGAAGGACAGACAGATCCTGTAATTGATAAATCTATTTGGTAAAAATGTTCTTTGTGTCTTTATTTTCCAAAATAAAAATCAGAAAATCATATAATGATAATAGTTTTTTCATGCTTGGGAGCAAAACATCAAATGTTGCACTCCTGACATTTTTGGGTATGCACATATACTTGACTCTCATTAATGCTGCTTGTGATTTATATAACATTTTTAAGTTTTAAAATGTATATCAGTTATTATTTCACACTTCCAAAATTCTTTTTTGTCTTAATTTTCTATCAGAATTTTACAATTGATGTTTTTTTGGCAACACTACATTTTTTCTGTTGCACTCCTGACATGGTATAACATTTTTTTAAACATCAGTCATGACCACAACTTGATTAAACAAAAGTTATGACAGTCCACATTTAAAGCTCAATACTTTGAATATTATCGGGAAAGTCTTTATTTTCAACATGAAGCATTGTTTTTTATTTCACAGATCTCCAAAAAATATTGAAATTTCAAAATGTCACAAAAAGGTGTTGCACTCCTGACAATTTTAGCATCATTTTTGGGCATAACTTTTTTGTTAATTGAGATATCAAAGAGATATTTGGCAGGTATTTAGACACTATCTAAAGACATATTCTGAGACATAGAAATCTATTTTTATTGCCTGTATTTTTAGTGTGGGTTGATAAATATGCGTTTGGTCATTTTTTTTAATTCACCCATATCTACAATATAATAAAGCTGCTGCTTAATCAAAAATGTGTGTTTTTTTCGGAATGGATTTAAAATAGACATTTATATACAAAAATACATGACAATACAATGGCTTGATTAACATAGCATCCCATGGAAACTATAAGTCGTAATATCATCAAAGTCATTGTTTTTACAAAAACTCGCTAATGAAGTTATGATAATTATAATAATATGTGTTGATATTCGAGTTCTTCTTTCGATAGTCGATATTAAGTACATGTAGGCATGCCATCATGCGTATCTCAATATAGTGATACATGTGTTGAAATCAGTGATAAGTTTCTTTGAAATGAAAAGTATTTTTTAAAAAGAACCCGAAACATAATTTGCCAAACCGTCAGCTTGAAGTCCATATTTGAATATTTTAAACAAATAAAAAAATATGCATGATTCAGGTTCTTTTGAAAGAAAAACCCCTTTTGTTCTTTGGTAAAGAATTATTTTGGGGGCAATAGGCAAACAAGCAATAGGAAACAATAGGCAACAGGGACTGCAAATAAACGAGATAGTTTATTTAATTATACCCCCCCTTCCCGAAAAAAAAATAGAAGAAAAAGGAAATTGAGATTTTGTTCAACTTTTTTTGTGAGTAAATGATTTCCATGTAAAAGGTCATGTATAACTGTAATTTTAACCACTTATGAATTGGTAAGTTGTTGAAAATAATTATAAAAAATTTCAAGAAATCTGTGATTTTTTGTTCGTTTTCATGTTTTTGCCCCCAAAAATGACAAAAATATGATATTTCAAGAAAAAATGAATGCAATGGTACAAACAAAGAATGTTTTACACAAAAATAAGTATGCTTTGTTTAATATGCTGAGGCAGATATTGCTTCTTACTGCCCCTTGTTGTTCATCGAAATCCACAAATATTTACATGTAGTGCCTTTTGAAATAATCGAAGGAGAGACAAACAAAATTAATGCAATACATTAAATCAATACAAACTTTAATATTGTCTTAAGATGAATTAATTGCTTTAAAAATATAGAATGATATTTATATGAAAGTGAATGTCAAGATACCATTTTGATTGATTGATTGATTGTATATTGTTTTACGTCCCATTCGAGAATTTTTCACTCATATAGAGACGTCACCATATACCGGTGAAGGGCTTCAAATTTTGACCTTTACTCGGCACTCAGGGCCATTGAGCAGTGAGGGATCTTTATCGTGCCAACGCCTGCCGTGACACGGGGCCTCGGTTTTTAAGGTCTCATCCGAAAGACCCGCAACTTTCACTCCAAAGTGCCGAGCGCATGGCGAAGGAACAGTTGCTACCTATTTTTTATCGACTTAGGTCTGTCGCGGCCGAGATTCGAACTCACGACCTCCCGATCACGGAGCGAGCGCTCTACCGACTGAGCTACCGTGAACGGTGATACCATTTTGTATAAGATTAGAATTTTTGACATTACCGGTTCATATTGCATCCACTGTCCATAGTCATTCTTAAAGTACCACCTCCACTGTGTGTGGAACGAACCTATTTTAAGTGGAATGTTCTCTTCGGCAAATGATACCGTAGTGAGTCGCCTGTATGGTACCTCTACAGAGTTTCCAGCCATGTTAATGATACCATATTCCTTTCTGAAGTAAAGAGTGATTCTCTCTGTGTTCTCTAAAATAGTAAACTGTAAAAATCGCAATATATTATGAAATGTTCTCCAGAATCTGGGTGTATCTTTCCTTCTACATATATCTTTACAAAATAAAGATAGTAAATTGGAGAGATTTATATTAATTGACTTTTAGTTAATAAAAAAAAAAAAAAACACCTTTCCATCAGCACTGTCTTCCGTATTGCAGTAACTCTGTTCAAGCTTTTGATTTTCTTCGTCATCAAAGCTGACCCAGTCTCCATAGATACGGATCTGCCAGAGGTAGGGGAATCGAGTGTGGTGTTTATCACAATCTTTTTCCTGACAGCCTCCCGTCAAACCACTCAAACAGATGCTTTGTTTGTGCGCATTCGTATCAAAAATACTACTGGATTTTGAATGGTTTTCTTCTAAAATGCAAAGAAAACAAACATTATAAAATTTAGGGTTCTGGATATTTTATTTCTATCAATTTATTGAAATTATTAAACGAAATTATGACAACCTTTTTATTTTTATTGCACAAAAGTATCTTTTTGTTTTTATAAACTCATTTTAAGAAGTGGTAAATACGTTGACAATGATTGACGGACTTCCTTTAATAGCTCACCATTTAGTCGGCTGAACCACGGATATTCTCTGTTTTGTCTATAATATCCTCTGCTTGTTACTTGCTCTTTTTCACTGGGTTCTGTTTTCCTTTCTTCCTCATGATTCCATGTTACTTCTTTCAATTTGGTATTTGCTTTAGCGGCAATCAATGATGGATGAACGGATGGAGTCTGACAAAGATAAGTAACGCTGAGTTGTTTTCGTGGCATGTTAATCGACGACTTAAGCAAGAACAACTTTTCCCTTGGCCATCTTTCCATTTTGTACACGGAGAGAACCCATCTGTTATGCGGAGTCTCAAATGAATGTCCTCTTTCGCACTCAGGATCTTCGCATCTATTTGTTATAAAATTGTAACAAATGTGAAGAAAAGGACAGTCTTCCCCTGCCAAACATGTTCGCGCGCGGCAAACTTGAGGATACCTACACAATATTAACACTTTGATGTCTTCGTCATTGAAATCTTCGAGACCGAGTTTTTCCTTTATCTTTGTATTGTGTCCGTTTGTAAAGTCATGCTCCTTTCTACATTTGTAACCATTTCTACAGAATCCATTTAGATAAAATTTACAGATGTGAAAATGACAACAATTTCCGCGACTACATTCCTTTTCTTTTCCGATCCCCGTGTGATGGAAGCACAAAGTTGCATTCTTTAGAAAAGGTCCCATGCATATAGGTGTTTGTTCTCTTTTGTAAATAGTTAGTCTTTCCTTGCGTTCTGATAACCATTCAGTGAAGTTTCCTGGTAAATGGGGGTATTCTTCACTGAATTTTGATACACTTGATAAACCACCCGTTCTTTTCACAAGAAAGTTGAACACGCTTTCCTCAGAAAAATCGGAAGCAACTGGGCCACGATTTGCTTTTCCTATGAAATAAACATTCTCTTTCCATATATTTTTGTACAAATACGATGAGCTATAGTCGTCATCCACATCCATGGGCTCAACATGATCTGTGGTGTCATCTGCAGACGATTCATCTTCACTTTTGATGCCTGCTTCTCTTAAACGAGTACATTCATTTTCTCTCCATTTATTTCTGTAACCTCTTACTCTAGACCCTGCAGATTTTCGGCCTTTTCCACGATAAGTATTCATTTCCGGATTAGACTTCTACTTCTTCACATATTTTATGTCAGAATAATCGATTTAATTGCTTTCTTAGAAGTTTGTCTTAGTGTATGTCATTATTCGGAGCTTCCCCTCCTTTCTTTAATTAAATCTATAATAAATTAATAAAAATATGTCAATTGTTTTCTCATTTTATTCATTACCTGTAAGGTAGTCATGATTTTTTCACTTTTATTTTATGGTTTTACCCTATATGACATATTTTTCAATTAATTCTATTCTCAGCTAAAGATAATTAATATTGGAATGCTGACATAATGACTAAGAAATGACTAAGAAACGATAAGATCAAACAACATGCATTGACAGTATGAATACTATAGAAAAAAAATGTCATCATATGTAAGATTTTCACTTAAATTTCTCGTTACTCTTCGTGTTTTAATAAGAATTTAAAAAAAATCTTTGTTTTCATGAAATTATTTAACTTGTCCATCGACAACATCATTTAACTTGTAAATTAAAAAAATGCCATTGACTTTACTAATTTATTCAAACATTTTGTGTTAAATTCTAACTCTAAAAGAATTCTCTGTTTCTAGAAATAGAAGTTTAATACTCAAATAGCATTATTGAATTCATATTTTAGGTACATGTACTTGTCTAGTATTTTCCTATTTTGGTATATATTTATTTAAATATTTTATTGGGGGGGGAGGGGGGGGGGTAAAAATATATTTAAAGAAACTGTACTGTGAATAAAGAGCAGTATGTGAAGCCAAGAAAACATTGCCTTGGTTAGGAAATCGTTGGCTTAAAATCGATAAACGTAAGCAAATATAATGCATTTCTTTGCCCTTACACCGCAGGAACAACTTGCGATAACGGTGTATACAAGAAAAACTAAAATGCAATCTCTATAGACCTCTGTCCTTTACTCAGTAAAAGTGTTCCTTCACAGAAATAAACAAGCTATGTACGCAGACGAACATGTACAGTGATTGTGGATTCTCTAAAACACCCAAACGTGCAAGGAGTGGAAAGCATGTTAAACTGTACGTAAGAAGTTGAATATTTGTATGCAACCATAAATAGTTGGTCCATTCTGTATCTCCTTATGTCGTCTAAACTTAAGCTTATAAACGATGTAAAATAAATTATGTAAATAATCATATTTTTACCACAAAGAAATATAAAACATTTACTTATAAAGAAATTTCATGTTTATTGTTCTGCTACATTACTGTATATATAGACTGGCGTTGGCAGTAAGATTTTATCCGACTTTGAATGCACACATTTTTGTGCTCCGATCACAGATGATTCCATTAATCTTCGTACTGGTGAAAATATAAAAAAAATCCTGCCTCATGAGTAAAATAAATTCCATATCCAAGTGCAAAACATTGAATATCCGCTATTTATTCGTTCATTGGTGTTTCGGAAAGAGACAAATCGAATTAAGAAAGCGCGACTTTTCTTATTCTGTTTAGCATTGTGGACTTTCATCATATTATCGTTTATAAAGAAGTTTCAAATCTTTCTATTTCAGTTTTGATTTTAAAAAAAAGTTTTGACACAACATTGGTAACATGAAATTACAACATCTACCTACGATGACGCTGTTTCTAATTTTAGAATAAATCGATCGGTTATGCACACGGCTCATTGTCTGACGTCATGGCTTGTTGGTCAAGTCGTTCAATAGAATTCTTTTGATAACTTGATCTTGGAAACTTCATACGTTTAGTATCTTAACTATCAATTGGAAAGAATGAGTAAGGAAACATGCTAAACACCAAAACAAACCAGAGCATTTGACCTAATGTCATTAATATCACATTATACCTTACAGGTTACATAACACTTGGCCATTCTCGAATGCATCATTCATGTCCAGCAAAACAGCAGGAATTTATGATTGAAGCTGTGTAGCAACCGCTAATGATAAAACACTTAATGATAGAAATATCATCATGTGCGCTATGGAGAAAAATGTCTTTTTAAGCTGAAAAAAAAGTTATCAGACGTTATTATTTACATGATTGAAACACCAGCATAAATTAGTTATACATAAATCGGCAACCCCAACCCCACCCCTACTTCCTATGGCCAAGAAAAAAAAGAAATTACAAGTAATGTAGTATATACAGTAAAAATTCACGTCAAATTTTTATTTTATGCCACTGAATTGAATTTTTTTTTTATTTCTTAGGGGGGGGGGGGGGAAGAATTCATTTCTGGACTCAGAGTCATGTTGATATACTGGATTTAACTTTTCTGGATTGTTATAAAAAATTTCTCACGTCAGACAAGCTTTTTAGGAAAGCTAGTACTTGTAGTTCGTTTGGTGTTTAGCGGATAACATTCATTCAGCAAATTATGTACAAGGTCATTTAAGTAGCTATTTTCTTAGCCCTAACTTTGTTAGGGATATTCCTGAACATAATTACTAATCCTGTTAATAAGACAAAAATCATTTATAAAATTGACTAGGTGCGGAACTGAGCAGAATACATGCATGAGTACTAAAATCTTATTTCACTGCAACTTTAATTAATAGCTCTGTAAAAAGCTTAATAGTTAATTTATCTGCAGATTTATTTTTCTTTAAAAAGATGCAGCCCATTCGATTTCATGTCTCTCATTCCATTTCTAACAAGAAGTCTGCGAGCCAATGCTCACTAATAATACCCCCGCTCTGATGTGAATACACAAGTTCAGTTATGGACAAACACAGTGATAATCAGGAAATTGACATTGGATTAGTAAAAAATAAATCCCAACATATGGCATGCCTAAACAAACATTGTGTTAAGATTTCAAGCACCTGCAATGAGTAGTTGCTGAGAAAACTGCGACCAAAATTTGTTATGTATGGTACAGACAGATGCAGGGATAAACAGGAAGTTGACATTGGATTTGTACCAAAATGAATCCCATTATATGGCATGCCTAAACAAGATTGTGCTAAAATTTCAAGCATCTGCGATGAGTAGTTGCTGAGAAAACTACGACCAAAATTTATTATGTATGGTACGGACAGACGCACGGATAAACAGGAAGTTGACATCGAATTCGTACAAAAATGCCCACCATATGGCATGCCTAAACAAAGATTATGCTAAAATTTCAAGCATCTGCGATGAGTAGTTGCTGAGAAAACTACGACCAAAATTTGTTATGTATGGTACGGACAGACGCACGGATAAACAGGAAGTTTACATCAGATTCGTACAAAAATGAATCCCACCATATGGCATGCCTAAACAATGAGTGTGTTAAAATTTCAAGCATCTGCGATGAGTAGTTGCTGAGAAAACTGCGACCAAAGTTTGTTATGTATGGTACGGACAGACACACGGATAAACAGGAAGTTGACATCGAATTCGTACAAAAAATAAATCCCACCATATGACATGCCTAAACAAAGATTATGCTAAAATTTCAAGCATCTGCAATGAGTAGTTGCTGAGAAAACTGCGACCAAAATTTGTTACGGACAGACAGACAGACAGACACACAGACGGACAGACACACAGACAGACACACAAGGGTAAAACAGTATACCCCCCTCTCCTTCGGAGCGGGGGTATAAAATGCCAACATTACATCATTCCAGTTACAAGATATTTTTTAAAGGCAGCATAATGTGGTCAGACTACTCTATATACATGTAACAACATTGGCTGGTAAAATTTGTTCTTCAATTAAAAGGGGGAGTTTCGATAAGGCCGTTTTTCGGCCCCTCACGAAATACTATGAAATCTTGAAATTTTGTAGAAAAACTCCTTATCTTCCTAAAAATATGAAAATAATTTATGTTGCGCATTTTCGGGTCACGTGATAATTGAAAATTTAAGTATACGCCCTTTCGTATAATTTTGGAGTAGACATTTTTATAGGGGGAAAGTGGATTTCTTAAACGTCAAAATCGTAACTGAAATAGGATAAATATCAATAAAGACATAAATTAACCAATTTGAATATTTTTCTTTTTACGGAAAATGGTATTTATTTTATGCGAATGTTTTTTTAAGGTGCGATATTTTTCTGGTAAGTTAAATGTTACTTTTCTTTAAAAGAGGATGAATTTAACTTATAAAACGTAAAAATATACAGTTTTAAAATCATAATTAATCGACGGTTTATACATAAACTTTACAATCAATATATAACATTTTCCCATACGAAAAATGCAAATAAAGAGATAATGTAGACATGAGATAGGTAAACGTCAAAATGTTCATACACAGGTATATGCAATATATTTTCATCAATCAGGTTACACAACTGCATGTTTTTATAAAAATATACCTTAATACCATCAAATTGAATTTGAAAATTTGTTTTGAAATATAAAGAGAAATCGGTACGATTAAAAAATAAATGCAGTTTTATATACATACATAAATAAAAAGTTTATTTTAAAGCATCACATTGCTACGGAAGCCGGTAGGTGCAAAGTAAGAAAACTAAGTTTTCTGGCAGCCGCCACATAATAATGCGGCGGCTGCTAGAAAAATTGGCGGCTGCCAAATAGTTTCCTGCGGCCACCACATAAATATTGGCGGAGGTCAGAAAAATATTTTTTTTTTACCTAGCACCTACAGGCTTCCCTATATTGCAATGTACATGTATTTGATAATATGAATAATATTAATTACAGTCAAAATATTTTATCATTATACGTTATTATGTAAATAGTCAAATGATGGAAAAACCTATAATGCATTCAGTGTTTGCTTTTCATTATGAAAGTTAGAAGTATTTTTCCCACATAGATATCGTTATGTTTTCAGCATAACGGAGAGAATCCCAGCCAAGACTAATTTCCTCTCGCTTCCCAACTTAGATACTTAAGTTGCTTCACCAACTCTAGTCACTTCTCAATAAGAGAGTTTTAGAATTCATTATATATGATTTGCTAGACCAGAGCCGCAGTTCGAAATACATGTGTAAACGCCAGATATGTGTTAATTCTTAATCCTACAGAAATATGCGCCTCAACATCCAGACTTAAAAAC